ATTGAATTAATTTTATTGAAGTTTTTGGTTCTTTTTTTTTGAAACATAAGAACTCTTACGTAGCGAAGTAATCAAATTTTTTTTTTTATAATTATAATTTAGGCTCTACTTCTGTATGGAGCACTGTTTTTTAAAAATATTAAAGAACTTCGGATTATATACCTAACGTGTTCTTTCCTATTTTTCTATATATTTGCCTTGCACGCGCGCGCACACACACACACACACACACACACACACACACACACACACACACACACACACACACACACACACACACGGGAAAGCAACGCGTGACATACACATACCTAGCGGGCTTAAGCGAGTGGATGACAGAACAGGATCTGGGAGAAGTAGTAAAAGGACAAAACATATTGAGAACTAGAAGGGCTGGGGGGAAGTGGAGAGCCATGACTGCTTACGTCCTGAAGGGACACGGTGCATAAAAGAAGACTCCTTTGACTTGGAAAATTGGTACATCACAATATATTATTATTGCTATGTCCCCTTAATTTTATATTAGTTCTCTTATACTTAACATCAGGATGAAGCAGCTGAAATTTCTGGGACATGTAATGAGAAAGGAGGGCTTCGAGAATCTGATACTCATAGGGCGGATACAGGGAAAGAGACAGACAGATAATTATTATTATTATTATTATTATTATTATTATTATTATTATTATTATTATTATTATTTTTCTTTGATTTCTGGCGTTTACACATTTCTTTCCGGGTTCCGCCCAGGAACCTAAGGTTAGAAATGGCGTCATGACACTTTCCACAGACAACAAAAAAAAAAAAAAATTAAATTACATAGATAAAGCCCTTCGTAAGGTGTGGGCTGTACTTGTCAGAACAATTTTTTGTATCTCCTTGAGGCATGGACTTCCAGGAATCCCTTCAATTAGTCCACTGCAATCTTTTCCAACCAGTCCTAGGACTCCAACTACAACAGGGATTGTTGATGTTCCCATATGCCACATTTTCGAGATTTCTATTTCAAGGTCCTTGTATTTTGACAACTTTTTGAATATCTTCAAAGATACATTGCAGTCAGCAGGGACTGCCATGTCAATAAGGAGGCACCGTTTTTTGTTTGTGGTCTTTAATAACAATATCTGGCCGGTTGGCCTTCATTGTTCTGTCAGTGTGTGTTGTGTAGTCCCATAGAATTGTAACAGGTCCTTATTATTATTATTATTATTGATATAATTATTATTTTATTTCCTTTGATTTCTGGTGTATACTCATTTCTTTTTGAGTCCCGACCAGAGACCTAAGGTCAGAAATGGCATCATGACATTTTCCAGTGAGCAGTTTTGAAAAAAAATCACTCATATTTTATATAGATAAAGCCCTTTTCACGGTGTAGGCTGTATTGTGATTACTATTTCTCTTTTTTTTGTATTTCTTTAGGGCATGGGATACCAGATATTCTATCAATGAGTCTACTGGAATCTTTTCCAATCAATCTGAGGGCTCCAACTATATCTGGAATTCTTAATGTCCTCATGCACCACATTTTTGAGATTTCGATTTCAAGTTCCTTGTATTTTGATAATTATTATTATTATTATTGATATTATTATTGATTATTATTATTATTATTTTATTTCCTTTGTTTTCTGGTGTATACTCATTTCTTTTTGAGCCCCGACCAGAGACCTAAGGGCAGAAATGGCATCATGACGTTTTCCAGTGAGAAGTTTTGAAAAAAAATCGCACTTATAATATTTCGTATGATGTGGGCTGTACTTGTGACCAAAATATTTTGTATTTCTTTAAGGCATCGGTAACAAAGGATTCATTCAATGAGTTTATTGGAAACTTTCCCAATTAATCCGAGGGCTTCAAATACAACAGTCATTGTTGATGTTCTCATGCACCTCTATTTGAGTTTTTGATTTCAAGGTCCTTGTATTTTGATAGTTTTTTGAAGATCTTCAAAGATACATTGCAGTCTGACGGGACTGCCATGTTAATAAGGAGGAACAGTTTGACTTTGCAGATGCTAATGAAAATGTAAGTGTGATTAGATTTGATGGTTCTGTCTGTGTGTATTGTAAAGTCCCATAAAATTATTATAGGTCCTATATCAGTTATCGGGCCTGGGTGGTGTTCATATCAATTTCTTGTAGTTTCATTTCCGTAAATGTTGCAGAATTTCCAGAGAAGATTCTGATGACAATGTCAGGCTGATTAGCTTCGATGGCTCTGTCTGTGTGTATTGTAAAGTCCTATAAAATTATTATAGGTCCTATCTCATTTATCGGGCCTGGGTGGTGTTCATATCAATTTCTTGAAGTTTCCTTTCCGTAAGTGTTGCAGACTTTCCAGTGCAGATTCTAATCACAATGTCAGGGTGATTAGATTTGATGGTTCCTTAAGTGTGTATTGTAAAGTCCCATAAAATTATTATAGGTCCTATATCAGTTATCGGGCCTGGGTGGTGTTCATATCAATTTCTTTTTGTTTCCTTTTCGTAAGTGTTGCAGACTTTCCAGTGCAGATTCTAATCACAATGTCAGGGTGATTAGCTTTGATGGTTCTATCTGTGTGTATTGTAAAGTCCCATAAAATTATTATAGGTCCTATATCAGTTATCGGGACTGGGTGGTGTTCATATCAATTTCTTGTAGTTTCCTTTCCGTAAGTGTTGAAGACTTTCTAGTGCAGATTCTAATCACAATGTAAGAGTGATTAGCTTTGATGGTTTTGTCTGTGTGTTTTGTAAAGTCCCATAAAATTATTATATGTCCTATCTCAGTTATCGGGCCTGGGTGGTGATCATATCACATTAAACTACAATAAAGATTATTACACTTTCCTGTTTTTTTCTTTTTAACCGGTATCACCCCAAGCAAGGCAATAAAGCCACTGAGAGTCAATGGATTACTGGATGTGGAAGAGTTAGACACAGGAATTTGTTAAAGAGCGAGAACAGAAGTGTAATCAGGAGGATAGTAGACAGCGAGCGACGTTGCATTTACTTTTTTTGCAAGTTAAATTTGGCTGGAAATTTTGGAGCCGGAAGGGAGTTCCATAAGCGGGATGTGCAAGAGAAGAAACTGTTAGCATAGAACTTACGGTTACATCTAGCCAGCTCAACTGTAAATTGATGGCACCTCGTCGTTGGTCTAATAATACTTCAAAAACTGTAGGTACCATAGCGAAGGGCTCATTTAAATAATTGTCATGAAAGTATTTATGGAAAAGGCACAGAGAAGCAACCTTACGATGTTGGGAAAGTGACTGAATCCGAACCACCAGATCAAGACCAATAATATTGCAGATTCTTCTTTGGACCTTATAAAAAGAGCTTAAGGTAAATAGCAGGGGCACCAAGTTATATATGGCAGCAATATTGAATGAATGGTCTTCTTATGGATATATATGATAGATTCTAAAGAGAAAATAATGTCTAGCACGACACAGTGAAACAACTTTCTTAGAAGTCAGATGGGTCAGATGAGAACGTTATCCCAAGAAGGCACAGCAAGTCATTCTCCTGGAGGGGTCTGTATCAGCCATACTGATGGTGGTTTCTCTCAGATGATTAATAGTGGGCAGTTTAGTTTCGAAAGCGTTAAAATTAACAAGTCATCCTAATAACAGACTAAAGGTTTATCTAATTAGCAACTTTTCTACATAAAAATGGCTTGCGAAATGATTACATATTTTTCTTTACTTCATCATCAACGCTTCTATAACTAAGGCGACATCAAGATTAACTCCTGAAATATTGGTGTCAGTTCAAGTCTCGTATTTAGCTATTTTAAGAAAAAAAAACCCAAAACACTCGTTTCAACTTAATAATTACAAGTAAAATATTAAAAAAAAGTGTATTTTCTAAAGTACATAAAACATCAAAGGTAAATTACATTCAGACCTAAAAGCCACTCCTGTTTTTCTGCCCAACTGATGTTAAAATCAGTCCGTATGGATTTTAGGCTTTCAAGTCATGTCGGTGGATAATTATCAGGCATTTTTTTAATAAAAATATATTTTTATTTTCAGGTTATGAAAATGTGAGCCGATAATCATATTTAAAAATCTTATTGTTATTATTTTTCTTTTTTCATAATAAATATTATTACCCAAATATATATTTCCATATACCATCATCCGGGTCACTACAGTCTCACCCACAAAGAACTGAATTTTGACCAAACAGCTCGCTATCTTTACTTCTTGATATAAACGGATGCCGACTATAATTGAACTAATATTGGGTTGGTGCATAATTATCAGGCGTTTTTAAACAATTATTTAAAAACGCCTGATAATTACAAGAAGTAAAGATAGCGCGCTGTTTGGTCAAAATTCAGTTCTTTGTGGGTGAGACTGTAGTGACCTGGATGATGGTATATGGAAATATATATTTGGGTCCGGGGGTGAGGTTAATGTAGAATAAATTATTATTATATTCATTTGAGTATTGCCATAGTGCTTAAAATCTTTTCAACAGTTGTCTTATCTTTTAATGTGAACGGTTATTAAAACACATTTATGGAAGCATATAAATGTACTTGCAAGCTTCTTCGTAAAATGATAAACAGACTATAAGACAGTAAAATATACAATACAGTTTATTTTAATGACATGAAACTGAAATAGATAATTTTGAAGGTTATTTCCGTATGTTTATTATTATGTAAATAAAAGTATTGCAATCTGATTAATTATATTTTGAAACCATCAGAATGTTATATTCTATAATGCAAATAAGCAAATGCTTACTTTAAATTGTTTGCCTTATTTTTTTTTAACTTATTGCAATAAGTCTTAATTTTATATTAGTTCTCTTTCGTTCTTTCTCTTTATTGTCAATGTTCAATAGTTTTCAACATCACTACATCGACAGGATGATTCTGAAGGAACGTGGCTTGTGGCCAGATCACGTTGAAACAGCGGTTCCTGTACGATCACCTAAATTAAGCAATACCTAGATAGATGACCACTTGGGAATACCATATATTGGGTTTATAAAGGGCTCACGAGCATATCACGTTGAAACACCGGTTCTCATACGATCACTGAAGTTAAGCAAAGTCAAAGCTGGTCAATACCTAGATGGATGACCGCTTGGGAATACCATGTATTGGGTTTATAAAGGGCTCACGAGCATTATATCGGAGATCCCACGGGCTCGGAGATTCCACGTTAAACCGGCCTCGTGCCACATGATGCCCTCGTGGCGGGGGGGGCAAAATACCGTTCAGTCTGAAGTCGGACGACTGGCTGACCGGCTGATCGGTTGAACTCTCTGCCTTCGGGCGGGGAGGAACCCGAACGAGGCTACGCCGAAGGGCGGAGTCTCTTTCGGGGAGGCAAACCGACCCTGAACCCGTTTATACGGGTTCAAAGGGCATATTTTTGGCCGAGCCCACGGACTCGGAGATCCCACGTTAAACCGGCCTTGTGCCACATGATGCCCTCGTGGGGGATGACTAAATACCGTTCAGTCTGAATTCTGGAGTGAAGCTCTTCAGGAGTCTGTCAGTCAGAGCAAGCGAGTCAGTCAGTCGAGTCAGAGGCAGTCCGAAACAGAGTCGTGTTCAGACAATTACTACTAAACCTGATTATTCATACTAACACTTTTCTACCTCTCTGTATATATTCCTGTTTGTAATATATCTGTGTTATTCCATATCCGTATTCGAGTTCTTCTTTATTGGTTCTACCTTGGACTATCACCGTGGTACAAAGAACCGGACCATAACACTATATATTTAGAGACTCTTGAAAAAATCCAGAGAAGAATCTGCAATGTTATTGGCCCAGATCCGCTATCTTGCATTCAATCACTTTTCTATCACTGTAATATAGCTTCTCATGTCTTTTCTATAAGTACATAGAAATTGTTCTGATTAACTTTCCTTTATGGTACCTAGACTCTATGGATTTAAGCGCAGTACTATATTGGCAACTAGGTCTCATCATTTTACAATTGAAATGGCTAAATGTAACCGTCAGTTCTATACTAATATTTTCTTTTATCGCACTTCTCGCTTGTGGAACTTACTTCCCGCTTCTTGCTTTCCAGTCAACTTTGATCTTCTGAGATTTAAATGCAATTTCAATCGTTATATTCTGTCTACTTAATAATGTCTTTAATAATCTCTTTACTATATTTTTTATTAATCAGTAATCCCTGCGTCTTAGTGACTATTCTGCCTGGCTTGGGGTGAAATGATTAAAAAATGTATGATGTTTTTTGTAGAAATTGAAAGAAAAAATGTTTCAGAAAAGAAAATGGCCATCTGACAAGGCATTAATGATGAAAATCTTTTATGAATATCTTAGAAATCTTGAATTGATGATACCAATGTATATTGATTTGAAAATGAAAATGGCCATGTGACAATGCATTTACCAAGAAAATCATTTATGAATATCTTACAATACTTGAATTGATGATAGCAATGTATACTGTTTTAGAAAATAAAATGGCCATGTGACAATGCATTAACCATGAAAAGCTTTTATAAATATCTTAAATTACTTCAATTGATGATTCCAAAGTATATTGTTTCAGAAATGAAAATGGCCACGTGACAATGCATATACGCTGAAAGGCTTTTATATTTATCTTAGAATACTTGAATTGATGATACCAATGTATGTTGTTTCAATATACAAAATGGACATATGACAATGCATTAAGGATGAAAATGTTTTATGAATATGTTAGAATACTTGAATTGATGATACCAATGTATATTGTATACTGTGATGATACCAATGTATACATGTTAGAATACTTGAACTGATGATACCAATGTATATTGTTTCAGTAATGAAAATAGCCATGAAAAGCTTTTATAAATATCTTAGATTACTCGAATTGATGATACCAATATATATTTCTTCAGAAAACAAAATCGCTATTTGAAAATGCATTAACAATGAAAAGCTTTTATAAATATCTTAGAATACTTGAAGTGATGATACCAATGTATATTGTTTCAGAAATGAAAATGGCCACGTGACAGTGCATTAACGATGAAACGCTTTTAGGAATATCTTAGAATATTTGAACAATAATTCCTTGTGTGGAGAACGGAGATGCATAAACCAATGATTCAATATCAATAACAAGAAATTACAACCTATGAACGATGAAAGGAGACCAGCATCGAGGACTGTTTAAATTCAAAATGGATTTTGAAAAATACACAATCACAGATTGAACTGTTCTAAATCGTGTAACAAAGAAAAAAAAAGAAGGAAAATATAGTGAGAAAAAAGGGAAAATTCAAGTGGACGAGGAAGAACGGAAGTTGGGTGGGCGCGTCTTATCACCGAAACTCCTGACCGTGAGGTGCGTTTTTTCGGGGCCCCTTTGTAGCTTATGCCATTTTTTATCACCTTTATGGCTATCCGCCAATTTAAAAATATTTTTAAAAACTGACGTTACATTGTCAGTCACAACCAATAATCTACATCGTGTATCTGCACGGTCGGTGCGGTGCGTACTACGCAGGACCCACCCCACCCCGACGAGGTTGGAGCCCCAAAAGGGCTAGTTTCAGCAGAAATATTTTGCTTTTTATACTTTTTACTTTTTCTACCTAAGTTATATTTTTAATCATCAACTATAATATTCGTCAGGGTTGGTGTTTAATATCCCAAGCCTTTCAACCGGGTGGGGAACCCCATGCCCTCGCGAACGAGGGGCAGAAGTGCTAATTTCAGTATCACTTATTTTTTTTAATTGTAATTTTCTTTCTGAACAGTTCTTTTAAATCAATTAAGATGGCAATATATCTCGGTAAAATCATTTTTTATTCTGACATTATCCACGAAGGAGGATCTCTGATTATTTTACTAATAGTAATACTAAGCAGAATAGGGACTAGTAATTTTATTTTAATGAATAGAAATTTTTTTTAATTAACTATTTTTTTTTACATTTCTAGAAAGATAAAACCAAGAAAATGATGGCATAAAAAATAACGTTTATAGTGGTTTTCTAAGCCCGGCTTAGACGTGACACAAGGCCGAAATTATGGGGCATCTAGTGAGGATCGAACTCACTTTTCAGTAGTAACTGATCTAGCAAAACAAGATTGCTAATCATTACACCACGCCGAGGTGCCCAAATAGTTAATTTCCAAGCGTAGCTTAGATGTGGCACAAGGCCGAAAGTATGGGGTATCTAGTGAGGATCGAACTCACTTTTCAGTTGTAACTGATCTAGCGAGACAAGCTTGCTAACCATTACACCACGCCGAGGTGCCCAAATAGATGTGGTACAAGGCCGAAAGTATGGGGCATCTAGTGAGGATCGAACTCACTTTTCAGTAGTAACTGATCTAGCAAGACGAGGTGCCCAAAAAGTGATTATAGATAACACATTATAAAAATTTCATATATATTTATAGATAAGATATGATAAAAATTTCATATATATTTATAGATAACATGATAAAAATTTCATATATATTTATAGATAAGATATGATAAAAATTTCATATATATTTTTAGATATGATAAAAATTTCATATATATTTATAGATAAGATATGTTAAAAATTTCATATATATTTATAGATATGATAAAATTTCATATATATTTATAGATAATATAAAAATTTCATATATATTTATAGATAAGATATGATAAAAATTTCATATATATTTATAGATAAGATATGATAAAAATTTCATATATATTTATAGATAACATATGATAAAAAATTCATATATATTTATAGATAACATATGATAAAAGTTTCATATATATTTATTGATAACATATGATAAAAATTTCCCTGAAAACTGAAATACTGTTTTTAAAGCAAATTTTAAAGACAGTCTAGTTTCTTGTGTTGGAATCTTTGTAAAACATTTTCTTTTTTTTCAGCGAAGATGCGTCAGCGATTAATCTTCATGGAAATGTAAAATTTGCGATTTTTTTTTTAAAATTTAGTCATGAAAATATTGGTGGTTATTACAAAAAGAATAACATTTTTTTTCAGATTTTTTTTAAAATAAAAAAAAATCTATTCATTATAAAAGTAAATAACTAATGAATATGTATTGTAATTTTAATTTAAATTGGATAATTCCCTGATTTTTGGTAATTTAAAAAAGTGTTGCCCTTCCACACCAATTTTTCTTGAGCGTTTGTGGACTCCCAGGTTGGGAAAATTTGAAATCGAAATGTGGTAGAGAGCGGGCCCCGATACCAAAGTTTCGCGGTGGGGAACCTTAGCGCCTAATTTAAAAGGAACAGAGAAAAAAATCGTAGACAAGCCATAACATATAATATGGATACACAGATGATACCTTTGAAGAGAAACGAAGTTTTATTTTTATCATCAGGACTAATTATATATCAAAATGAAAACTAATTCTAAGATAGCCATCATCTTGAAAATGATCAGATGAACTGGAGAAACATTCGATAGCTCTGCATAGATTCAACATTGAAGAATATCGTAGTCTGTGATAAGCCAGAGGTGGTGTCGCGATCAAGGAGAACTATCTGATGTTGCTTCACTTCTACCGAAATTCTGAGAACGCTACCAAATACATCAATTAAGTGTAATATGAAGAAAGATGGCGGTCAGTGGTTTTTCTAACAACGAAGATTCGAAAATACTTATTATAAATTGGCATATAGATTTTTCATTTGTTATATAAAAATTTGTAAATAATTATCGTTAATGGTCATTTTCCCGTAATGTAGCTTCCCTGTGCCTTTTCTATAGACACTTTCATGATAATGGTTCAGATGAACTTTCCACTATGGTAACTAGACTCTATGAATTTAAGTGCAGTACTAGATTGGCGCAAACTCTGCAAAAATACTGCAGTTGAAATGGCTAGTGGTAACCGTAAGTTCTATGCTAACAGTTTCTTCTATCAAACTACTCGCTTGTGGAACTCTCTTTTGGCTTCTTGATTTCCAGTCAAGATTGATTTAAATGCAATGTCAATCATTATCTCCAATCTTCTTAATTTTTGATTTTTATTGTTCCCTCTTCTTTATAGTGTTTCCACCCCTTCATATTCTGTAACATTCAGTAATCCCTTGCGTCTTAGTGGCTTTATCGCCCTGTTTAGATGAAATGATTAAAAATGGATAAGAAGTAAA